CTTTTGAAATAAAAAATGAATTATAATTTTTTGGCTTTGTTTTTAAATTCATTTTCAAATTAATGGCAGTCGCTTTTTCAGACAGATTTTTAAATTTAGTTTCAGCTAAAAATTTTAAATTGTTGTCTGCTGAAATATTCGGCAATTTCAAATAGTTAAAGAGCGCTTTTACAAAAATTTTTTATGTTTTTAGGCGTTTTAGAGGCAAATTGTAGCGCTCTTTACGGTAAGTTTCGGTGAGGCAAATCGTAATTGCGTTTACGGTAAGGTTTTTCAAATTTTCTTGAAACTTCACTGAAGTATTTTTCTACCAATTTTTTTCTCAGACACGCTGAAAGAGTAGTAACACTCAGGGCTTTGCACCAATTAAAGCAGTTTTGTTTTCATATTCATATGAATGTATTGTGAAAGTTTTCATTTTGAAAGCTGTGAAAGTTTTAATTTAGGTCTAATATAGCCATTTTGCGCTGGCAAGTCTGCGGTGCCTTTTCAATGGTTTCAAGTTTTACCATTTAAAAGCAATTTGGTAATCGCCTTTTCTGGAGACCTAGTGCATATGTTCAAATCAAAAAGAAAAACACTTTTCATAGCTTCCAGGTTGCTTTTCAAGTTGCTCTCGGACGAAGTGCATCCCGGGTTGAAATCACAGAGGTTATCAGTACTGTTCAAGTAAAACAACAGTTATAAAAGAAAACTCAATCCTGTATCATATAAAATCAGTATTTTACTCTGATTTTCATCTGACCAAGAGATTGACTAGGAAAAAATTGCCAGTACTGTTCTAGAACTCTAATACTACTGAAAGAAAAATGGCGGAACTAAAACAGTACTGCTACAGTTCTGATTTATTACTGTTACAGTACTGCCTTTTTTCTCTGATTTATCCCTGATCAGAGATAAATTGCCACTTGCCAGAAATCTGATACAGAACTGATATTTTGAAATACAATTCTGGATACAATTTTAAGATACAGTTTTAAATACTGACTTTCTCTGTAACTTCAACATATGTTTCTTGTGATGAAGTGAGGCCTAGACAAGCAACTCGGGGCAACCTTATCATTTGGCTAGATGATTAAAGCACGGTCAGCTTGTGATTTCAACCGAAGAGTAGAAAACCAAAACTAGTAATTTTCGTGGATGATCGTTTTTCTTGATAGAAGAAACACGCCTATATTTTTGAAAAAGACTTTTTCATTTTTTTTGAAGACTTCGGTAGTCACGAAGGACGGCCATGGACCGAATTTTTCGCCAATTTGCATGAACTTCTGCGTAAAATCTATACCTGAATAGTTTGCCTGATTATTTATAAATGAAGACGGTTTCGGTGACTGATGATGACTTACCCTGCCACATCTTAGTTGGCGACCATGGCAAATTTAGCTGATGACACTTTCTTCCCCTAGCAGAGCACAAATCGACGAACATGAGCAGAAGATAAATAGTTGTTAAGGCACTCAAAATCAACCCGCAACAGCGCATCAAAATTCCGTCATTTTTGCACAGAAGACTCTGGATTTCAGGAGGGTCATCGTATCCTTCGTCGATAGCCATACCCCGTCTTCGCTTTCTGTTTCCACCGCCATCAGCGCAACACATGATTCCACAAACCGGCAATTTTTGGAAGATTCCTTTTAAATTGTTAAAAGTAATTTTGATCACATTCAGCGAAATCAGCGCTGCAATTTTGTAACGCTTTCTCAGTTGCGCAATCAAAAGTCAACTTGTTTCTGGTTCAATTTTTAATCTTTAGCTTAGTTTGTTACCGCATTTTTACAAGGCTAACTTTCCAATTTTTTGTTGTATTTTTGATTGACGATCCTGAAAGCTTCCAGCTGCTTTGATAACAAAAGATCAAACTGTTTTCTTTTCAATATTTCTCGCATTTTGCGATTTTGTTTAGAAAATGAATGAAAGACATGTCCAAATTCACAATACCTCACTGTATACAAGTTATCAGAACGATTATTTTCTACGGTTTTATTTGTAAGTGCAATTAATAGATCTTTTATTAGCAAAAAAACAAACAAAAAGCGAAAAAAAAACCGAATTTTCAAAATTTACAGCGAAAAAACTCGTTTGGTTTGAAAGTAAACCAATGAATAATTATGGCACAAATGTTATAAAAAGATCTCCGTGAAAACCAAGGGAAAAGAGGGGTCCCAAATCACACTAATACTAAGCAAATACAGCACCCACACTCAGTAAAAAGAGAAAATAATCAATTATATTATAATTATAATCGTACTTTAAGCAAAATTATAATCAATTATGAGCACCAATTTTAGATGTTTGAACGATTTATAATCCATTATAATGCTAACATTTTGGTGACATTTTACTAAATTATAATCAATAATTATTGATTATATTTTTCCCAAAATTTCATATAATCTCTTATAATCTATTATAATAGATTATAATCACTTACAATCAAAAAATTATTTCATAAGAAAATTTATCTATAATGGATTATAATTTAGCCATTCTGCATGAAAACACAGTAAAAATCAGTCAGAAGTAAGAATCAGTAAACAAGGGGCGGATCTAGAAATTTAGCGAGGGGGTCTCCTAAACCCTATAAAGATTGAGCAGATTGATTCCAAGCTCTCCCATGGCATTAAAAAGACCCTGTTCTGGTCAACATTTATACGCCGCATGCAATATTTTGAAAGAAAAAACGGTCCGAAAGGGGCATTTTTAGGCTCTTTTTGGAAAAATTTGACCAAAAAAATGCTTTATTCCGGTGCGCACCCCCCTCAAAATTAATATATATTAGGCGCCGGTAAAAAATTCTTGGGTCAGTAAGCCAAAAATGGATATCTCAAAGGAGGGGACACCTCAAAATAGTGGGGGGATCTCAAAATAGTGGGGGAATGGGGAGACCTTTTGGGTCGGCAGGGGGTCGAATCTCTGAGGGGGGGGGGGGTCGGCTTACCTACGCTCCCTTTTCCAAATCCGTTGGTTGCTATAAGTACAAAATAACAGCTTCTTTTAGCTCGGTAACCAACTGAAAAGCACACAAAAAAATTAAAAACGAAATGAAGCGATGACGTTTGTTGAATAATAATGGATTATAATCCATTATAGTGGATTATAGTTCAAAAAAATTTGAGGAAAAAAAACTTTCATAAAATAATCTTTTATAATCGATTATAATCGATTATGATGATTTTTACTGTTTCAAAAAATAGTGACACTCTAATCCATTTATAATCGATTATAATCAATGTTTTTTGAAATTAATGGAGACTGACAATAAAAACCCATTATAATCTATTATTTTCTCTTTTTGCTGAGTGCGGGCAACTAAATAAATCAATGCGCCATAATAATGACTGTAGTATAAAATGTTTAGAAAATTTTTTAATTTCTCAGGCCATTTATTTCATCGCGGAGAGGTTTCTTAGAATGTTAGACAAATTTTTGACTTTTTTTTCTAGCGAATTGCATGTCTTTAAACCAACTATCTCGAACAACCTGAAATTACCAAAAACAATGAAAAAAAAATGAACGCTGATTTGTCTTTTTTTTCTCTTCAGTTTATTACTGACTTGATATATTTGGTTGCCTAATTTTATCAAAAAAATGCGATCAGAAATTGGGCTTTCTGTTCTAGAAGTTTCCCATTGAATTTTTGTGTTCAGAGGTGTTCTTTATGATAGTGACCGAATGAAACTTATTTCTGGTAATCGGAATTCAGTATTCAGAAACCTCAAAGAAATGACAAAATCTTTGTTTTAGGAAATCAATTTAGGCCATTTAAATTAAAAGTGACCAATTAAAAGAAAACAGAAAAATAATTTTTCCAATATTGTCTAATCTAAGCCGCTTTGAGAATAACTCATTACTGATCGATTAACGATTTAAAAAGCTGAAAGTAGAAAAACCAAAAAAATATGTATTAGCTGCTTATGTATGGCAAGTTTTTCTCCATAAATGAAAACAAATATTTTTTGTTTTTTTTTTGCTCTTCCATTTTGCGTTTTGATTTTGCGATTCCACAAAAAGTTTTCATGCTGCGATTCCACAAAAAGTTTTTCTCAAATTTATTTCTGGTGAAAAAAAGTCTGGGCTACCTTGAAGCTAAAATTACTAACTTATTTTAGAATATATTTGTTTGAGCATATTATTAATTTGATTTCGAGTTACAGGCAAAAAAAATTTCTCAATTTTGATTTATTTAGAAAACTATGGGCATAAATAAGAATTGTGATATCTCCAAGCAAAAAATAAAAAATTTTGGCAAACCAGGACCTTCATTCTGCAAAAAACGACAACAAATTTGTTTAAAAATAATTTCATAATCAGAAGCAAATTTAATGTTATATGTTTTTTTTTTGAAATGTGGTTTGTATGGGAAAAGGCTCGTCATGTTATCGCTTAGGAAATTGCATTAAAAGCAATTTTTCATACAAACTAAACTTTATAAATGCATTTTTTTATGGTAATAGTGAAATATTCAGTTCTAATGAATAGCTTTTTTTCAGAGTAGCTGTTAAAACAGTGGCAAAGACTAGTGAAAAAAATTAGTTCTTCTATTTTTTAGTGTGTCAAAATATAGAAATTGAACAAGTACAAAAGTTTTAATGTATAGCTCACAAAATTGCTTCTTCGTTTGCTTACTTGTCAATAGCCAGGTCTCAAGTGGTTAATTTGACGACATATGAAATTATTTTTGATTACTTTCACTTTCTTATTTGAGTTTCAAAAAATCTAAATTTCACCGACACAGCAATGGAGCAACTAGTAAACTTTTACCTTGCTTATGAAGTCCACCCAATTAAATCTATGTCAGACAAAAAAATATGTGAGTCCAAAAAATATCAAAAATAAGTCAAACACCATGTTGCAACATAAGCGAACACGGACAGACAAAAGATGACCGAACACTATGTCGAAATCTAGTCGAGCACAGAGTCAAAGTTTCAAGGTCAAAATCATAAAACTTCAAAATAGTTTCAGGTTAATGAGTTTAAATAAAATACTCAGGCCCCCGTCCCCCACTCCCCGGATTGACTTTCCTTCCGAATTGAATTTCCTTTTGTTTTTTGTCCTTTTCTATGAAAGTTTTTACAAACATGTTTCTTTCCTTACTCGTTCCCTAAGTTTGTATGCTCATTTACCATTTATGTTTGTTTCGGAGCTGAAACGCTACAAGTGGCGTACATGTAAAAGCGGGTCAAAGCTTTATTTAACCGTCTGGTCTCATTTGAATACCATCGACAAAATCTTTGACGTTTAAGTTTCACTCAAACCATATTTCAGAAATCAGCAACTCACAGACTATTAGACAAACAGTTTCGATATTTCACTCTTTTAAAACCAAACTAGACTATTTATATTTATCCGTTTAATTTTCTAACATCGCAAAATAGTCGGTATCAAATTGACTTTCGACGTCTCTTTTTCATCTTTATTGATGCGACACATTTATTTGCTCCATCAGAGAGAAATAGATTATTTGAAGATAAGGATTCAAATTAACAACAAGAAAGAGCAAATTTATATATTTTTAAATTTCGTTTGGTACACTTCTGGTTGCTTTCTGTACCATATTAATTGCCAACACTGAGGATTAAAAAGTGTGTTTCAACCCAACTTGATTTCAATTGACAGTTAATTCAAACAGTATTATTATTTGCATCAGCAACAGCAGATCCATAATGGACGAAACTCAAGTAGAACAGCAACAATCAAACCCCGATCAAGCTTCGAATACTCCAGAAGAGATAAGTGAGCAACAGTGCTTTATTTTTGACTTCGAGTTTCAATGCCGGATATAACAAAAGATACGGTGACTTTTTTCCAAATTTCCGAGCGTTTTCTTCAGAAGCAATTGTAAAATTTACTCCAATGTCAATGTCAATAGATTGAGAATGAGTGGGATAAACAGATAAAAAATTAGTTAAAATTCAGTCTGAAATGTAAAAAATGCAGACCAGTTTTTATCGACAGTGAAAAACTTTGTTTTAAAGTTTTTTTGGAATCCGAATTATGACATAGTTTGATTGTGATATTCAATGAATTTTGTATGAAAAAACAAACTCACCGTTTGCTATAGTTTTTTCTCCTGAGTGGTTGGAACAAAAAGAAGCCGTCCATTTTGGTTCAACAACTCAGGAGAAAAAAACTATAGCAAACGGTGAGTTTGTTTTTTTTAAAAAAATTTCATAGAGTATCACTATTTATTGGCTACGAAGATGTCGTGGGAAAAATTAGGTTATCCTAAAATGGATGCTGTTCAATACTACTCTAGGGGGAGGGGGGAGGGAGGCTTGTTTGAGGGAGGATATATGTAAAAAATTTCCTTTATTAACAGCATGACCCTGTTTATTTATCAACTTCTTCAGATGCAGCCTATTTTGTCGATTTTTAGAAAACACGTTTTCCTAATCAATTAATAAAATGTTTCGCAGCCTTGAGCATGTTTGAGAGGATCTCTCGTCAAGTTTTTTTGAAGGGGAGGAAGGGAATTGAACTGATTCTACTGAAAAAAAATCACGAAAGTTGAAAAAAGTGCACCATATTTCTCAATTATTCACTACTATCTAATAAAAATTTTTAACGCTTCAGGCACCTTTTGCAATAGATGATAAAAATGAATAACTGCAAAACGTGGTGCAAAAACTTTTCGAAAATTTTGACTTTTTTTGAATTACTATTTCCGTTCATTCTAAACCTGTTCAGGGTTGCGAAAAATTTTCTTTTTGCCTAAACAGTTAAGCTAACAAAAAGTTTACGAACATGAATTGGCTACTTGATTTGGGTCGAAAATAGGGGATACGTGAAAAAACATTAGGAAAAGTATATCTATAAGAATAATGGGCGATTATTTAAAAAAACCCCAAACCCAATTCAATCTTGAACTTTTTATTCATAAAAAAACTGTTAACGCATAGATTTACAAAAACTGCAGCTGGGATATTTTCAGAGTCTGTATTGTTTGTATCAAACAAAAATTTGGAGGCACGACGATCGGTGTCAAGCCAAGTTGATGAATACTTGCTTTTCAAACTAGAATGTATGCAACAAAAAATTTTGCTATATATAACCTACCCGCATCCAGTTTCAAGCGTTAATAGTCAATTAAACTAAGATTTTAGAACCAGTCTTACAAAAACTGGAAAAAAAGTGATTTTAATCAAATAACAATCCATATAATCTCTCTTTTTTTAAATCAAATATAATCAATTATAATACATTATAATCGATTATTATCGATTATTTTAACCGAACTTCTATCTCTTTTGTTTTGCAGAAAAAATCCATTATTATCGATTATAATTGTTTTTGATCCTTTTTGTTTGCCCACATTTGTCTTCGACCTTGCACATAAATTGCTTATATTTTAAGCTTTTCGTAGACGTTGGTTTATCTGAAAAAAGGTAAAATTGTTGTAACAGTTTTCAAACCATTTCAAAATTAAAACGTCTTTATTTTTTCTTTTCTTGTTGATCATAAATCTTTCATGATATCACTTTTTTACCGCTAAATTATCAGCACACTGCTTTAGTTTCATGATTTATACAGAAGAGTTAAATTTCACATACCGCGGGATTCTTTCAACTAGTATGAAGGGATTTCTATGAAACTTTTGTTTCGTGGTAAAACTTTGTGTTCAGATGAAGCAAAGAGAGACAAGACATCTCACTTGAGAGATTTTTGACAAAAAAAGTATTATATTCTATTATAAGAGATTATAACAGATTTTTGGAAAAATCATAATCAATTTTTGTTGATTATGATTTATTATAATTTGACAAAAATTTTGATCATTATAAGGGATTATAAATCGTTTAAACATCTGAATTTGGCGCATATGATTAATAATATTTTTGAAAAAAGTACAACTATGATTGTAATGTAATCGATTGTTTTCTCTTTTTACTGTGCGCGGGTAGTACTTTCGGTATTCAGAATCAATCTCATTCAAGTCTTAAATCTGTTATATGAGGAAAAAACTGTTTTTCTCAAAAATGTTGAAACTATCAGAGAGCACAGATTGCTGGGAGAAAAAAAGCACATTTTTTTGATACATTTTCTGTTTAACTAATAGGTCAATTCTGATAGTTTTTAAAAATCGTAATGATGATGTTTTCCGCAATTTGCACAGGATCAATCTCCCGAAGGTTATTCAGCCTGTCTAAGGATAGCTCGCATCTCTGATTCATTTATATCATGACCTCAATACAAAATTTTTAATAATACAAACAAATGAATAAGTGTTGTTCGGTCCTTTTCGATCAGTAGAATAACAACCGCTTCAACGTCGACAAAGGAGTACTATAATGGTAGTTAGAAAAGTGAGCTTTACTCTAAACTTGCAATTTTTTTTGACGAGTAATTTGAAAATAAATGACCTTCTCTAATATGTCAAGGAATGCAATTTAAATAAAAGGATTCTTGAATCAGCCCCCTGCTGAAGTAAAAAGTTCACATAAGCTTGTCAATTGTAAGTCTTGTAATTTCTTTTAAAAAAATTCAATTGATACTTGATAATCGATAGTTTATACTTTTTTTAGTATTCGGTTAAATAGCTCTATAATGGTACACTGAACTCAATTCATTGTTTATCGGAAAAAAAAAGATTATCCTTTGCCTCATTGATGAATACTTGCTTTTCAAACTAGAATGTATGCAACAAAAAATTTTGCTATATATAACCTACCCGCATCCAGTTTCAAGCGTTAATAGTCAATTAAACTAAGATTTTAGAACCAGTCTTACAAAAACTGGAAAAAAAGTGATTTTAATCAAATAACAATCCATATAATCTCTCTTTTTTTAAATCAAATATAATCAATTATAATACATTATAATCGATTATTATCGATTATTTTAACCGAACTTCTATCTCTTTTGTTTTGCAGAAAAAATCCATTATTATCGATTATAATTGTTTTTGATCCTTTTTGTTTGCCCACATTTGTCTTCGACCTTGCACATAAATTGCTTATATTTTAAGCTTTTCGTAGACGTTGGTTTATCTGAAAAAAGGTAAAATTGTTGTAACAGTTTTCAAACCATTTCAAAATTAAAACGTCTTTATTTTTTCTTTTCTTGTTGATCATAAATCTTTCATGATATCACTTTTTTACCGCTAAATTATCAGCACACTGCTTTAGTTTCATGATTTATACAGAAGAGTTAAATTTCACATACCGCGGGATTCTTTCAACTAGTATGAAGGGATTTCTATGAAACTTTTGTTTCGTGGTAAAACTTTGTGTTCAGATGAAGCAAAGAGAGACAAGACATCTCACTTGAGAGATTTTTGACAAAAAAAGTATTATATTCTATTATAAGAGATTATAACAGATTTTTGGAAAAATCATAATCAATTTTTGTTGATTATGATTTATTATAATTTGACAAAAATTTTGATCATTATATGGGATTATAAATCGTTTAAACATCTGAATTTGGCGCATATGATTAATAATATTTTTGAAAAAAGTACAACTATGATTGTACTGTAATCGATTGTTTTCTCTTTTTACTGTGCGCGGGTAGCACTTTCGGTATTCAGAATCAATCTCATTCAAGTCTTAAATCTGTTATATGAGGAAAAAACTGTTTTTCTCAAAAATGTTGAAACTATCAGAGAGCACAGATTGCTGGGAGAAAAAAAGCACATTTTTTTGATACATTTTCTGTTTAACTAATAGGTCAATTCTGATAGTTTTTAAAAATCGTAATGATGATGTTTTCCGCAATTTGCACAGGATCAATCTCCCGAAGGTTATTCAGCCTGTCTAAGGATAGCTCGCATCTCTGATTCATTTATATCATGACCTCAATACAAAATTTTTAATAATACAAACAAATGAATAAGTGTTGTTCGGTCCTTTTCGATCAGTAGAATAACAACCGCTTCAACGTCGACAAAGGAGTACTATAATGGTAGTTAGAAAAGTGAGCTTTACTCTAAACTTGCAATTTTTTTTGACGAGTAATTTGAAAATAAATGACCTTCTCTAATATGTCAAGGAATGCAATTTAAATAAAAGGATTCTTGAATCAGCCCCCTGCTGAAGTAAAAAGTTCACATAAGCTTGTCAATTGTAAGTCTTGTAATTTCTTTTAAAAAAATTCAATTGATACTTGATAATCGATAGTTTATACTTTTTTTAGTATTCGGTTAAATAGCTCTATAATGGTACACTGAACTCAATTCATTGTTTATCGGAAAAAAAAAGATTATCCTTTGCCTCATTATCATTGTCCTATAATTATCAGTAAAATGTATTATAAAGTGCCTTGATTGAAACTCAAATTAAGTTATTTTAGTTACAAAGATTTACGCGTTAAATTTTTGGCATTTAAGGGAACAAAACTGCTAAGAAAATTTAAAAGTCCAGTTACTCCATTTTCGCCCCTTTTTGTCCTTTTTCTCCGTAACTTTAACGCTTTCACTTGAACATTTTTTAGACCACGTCCTGTACATGGTGGGTAATAATCACTATGCAAAAATATCAATCGTTTCGGTTCAGCCCTTCAGGAGGGAATAGAGTAACAAACGAATTCAGACACGGACACATCTAAAAATTTACACTCTACATTTATAGCTAAGATTGTTTTCTAAAAATTGATCCGAAAAAAAACTTATTCCACATGCCAAAAAGCAAACGACCTAAAACTTTTTGTTGCGACTTTCGAAGAAAACTGAATATTTATACTTGGGGCGGTTTTTTTATTAAGTAAACTTTCGGCGGTCGAAATAATTGTTTTTAACATATAATTTTTTCTACCCTGTTGAAGATATCGACTCCCAGAAATCAGTTTTAAAAAGATATTTTTCCTTCGATAACTTTTTGCGAAGTTCTGCGAGTTTGAAAATTAGCTATTATGGCCATGGTCTGGACTAAGTTATGAGTGCTTTGAAGATTTTATTAATGATAGTGAAAGCGTAATGAAATACTTATGCATGTCGAATTATTCCGCACATCAGTATCGTTCCAAATTGAACTGAGGCTAACTAAGCTAATTGTTCCGAAGTAATAGTTTTCAACAAAAATTTCTTGTCGACTTCCTGAGTTTAAACAGATACTTTACCTGCAATTTTTTTTGTAAAATTTTGGGGGTTTGAAATTTGCCATGTTTTAGACTAAATTATGCGCGCTTTGAAGAATGTAACGCGAATTTTTTATGCGTGGCAAATTATCCCGCACAACAAAATTTTTCCAAATTGAATTGAGGCTAGCTTATCAGATTGGTCGTATTAATTTGGTATGACTCATCATTTCACACTTTGACATCATCCAAACTTTTCAATATTTTCTTTTCCCAATTTTTTTTTATAAGAGTTAAGGGCCAATCGGAACATTTAGGGCTTTGCCCTAATATACGAGCAGTCTTGTTTGTCGTAGTAATTTCGTAACTTTTCACACTTGATCTTTGAGATCTGTCCAAAATTGATAATTTTTATATGTTTTCTTTTTTCCCCAAAAACTAATCGATATGGAATAAGGGGCTGTCGGTACATTCAGGGCTTTTTTTTTCAGTCAAGTTTTGGCCATCGAAATATAAAATTTTAACAAAAAAAAGTTATGCACCCTTAAAGATATCGACTCCCTGATATCAAATTTAAACTGATAAATTACCTCCGATCATTTTTTTCAAACTTTTGGAGTTTCAAAATAGCCAATTTTGCCATGCTGTGGACTCACTTATGCGCGTTTTGTAGATTTCATCCATAATCCTGAAAGCGGAACGCACAGTATATGTGCATAACGAATTATTCCGCAAGACAAAATCGTTCTAATTGGAATTGAGGCGAGCTAATCGGTCGTATTAATTTCGTACGACACAAGTTTTCACACTTGATATTTGATTGTCCAAAATTTGTAGATTTTAAATATTTGCTTTTCCCAAAAACTTTTCGATATGGATTAAGGGGCAGTCGGAACATTCAGGGCTTCGCCCTGATATGCGAGCAGTCTTTTTTAGTTAAGGCATAATCACTCGCTGAACAATGGCTTAATGACATTGATTTAACTTGTGTGAAAAGAGAACTTTACTTATGTTAGGTGTGTACCCGACTGCTCCAGTGGAACTGCCTTCATTCTGTGAACAGTTTCACAAAAATGTGATCAGTGAAGATGAAATCGCAGACGCTTTCGGGGATTACGTTATCAGCAAAGCTTGCTGTTCAGCGCCGGATAATCCAAAAAAGGACGTTGCCGTCGCTCAATTTTCAACTAAGTTCAAACTGAGATACAAATTGAGCAGCTATGTTGAAAAACGGGAGCGTCAAACAAGAACTGAGAAAATGGCGGGACACATGAATATGAATATGATGGGAAACGGAACTGGAATGATGGGAGATATTGGGGGTTTACTTAACATGGGTGGAATAAATAATAACCCATACGGCATGACGGGACCCGCGAACGTGAACATAAATGTGAACGTAATGAACAATTCTGGAATGATGCCACAACTGCAGATGGATTCAAAACCCGTTGTTACTAGCAGGTGATAAAAAGATCCGAATAGAATTCGTGTTTTTGGCTTGCCCCCTGTCAGTGGGAGTGGAAAGATTCGACTCCCTGCCGACCCAAAGGGTCCCCCCTTTGTACTATTTTGAGATATCCATTTTTGGCTGACTGACCCAAAAAAAAACTTTTTTCCAAAGGCGCCTTTGGCGCTAATATATACTAATTTTGAGAGGGGAGCGCGCACTGAAAAAACACGATTTTCGATTTGGTCGAAATTTTCCAAAAAGTGCCTAAAAACGCTTTTTTTGTCCTTTTGTCCGCAAAAAGTTTGGTCAAATTAGGGTCTTTTTAATAGTTAGGGAGAGCTCAGAAAATCAATGTGGTCAAAAAAAAGTTGACAAAATTTTCAATAGTTTTTGAAAATCCGCCCCCCCCCCCCCCCTCGAGAAAATCCTAGATCCGCTCCTGCCCACTATAGTCCCCAGTATAAATTATGTGAAGCTACACGCCATAATACAAACAAATAACCTGGCATGGTGCAGCTATAACACTTTTGTTGCTAGTCTAATGGGCCATAATGGCGGGAAACTGCCCAAGTTTTTGGTGATTTTTTGCACATGTTTTTTTCAGCCAAAAAATGTTCGATTGAGACATCACTAGACCGGCCATACTCTTTTGCGATCGCGTCTCGAGATTCATTGCAAACAAATGCTTCGTTTTGGCTCTTTTTGTCAAAACCTCATCACCCCACCCCACCCCCACCTGCGAAGTCTCACAAGTAAACTTTTGTTCACATCAGCCGATTGTTTCAGAAAATGTCATGCGGAATAATTAAGACAAAGTTTTTCGAGACCTTATTTAGACAAAATATTCAGCTCCTGGCAATTTTCGAAAAAGAATGCCGTTTTTGGACACTTTTTGAAATTAGTAAATATTGACGCCGAAGGCGCTTTTAAAAAACTCAAGAATTGTTTGGCCAAAAACGGATGTCATAAAAAAACAAAAGGGGGATTTTTTGATTTGTGAGGGATCGAGTCCCTAAAGGGTCGTCCGCGACGTTCGGTTTTCCTTTCATCTTTTATAGTTTTGCGCAAAAACATTTGGATGCTAAACTTGAAGCTCGTAAAAGGTAATACTCGATCAAAAACAAAAAGACAACTTTGAAATTATTCGAGTGCTCTTTTTTTAGGAAGCAGAATTGAAAATATCTGAGGACTCTTTTTAATTCGAAGTTTTCAGTTTCTAAATTCATAATTTGTCTACACTTTCTACACTGTCACTCTTCATTTCAGCGACTTGTGGTCGAATGACATGAGACCATCGTCTGATTGGTGGGAGGGGAAGTTGGAGGTGGAGACGTCACGTGACACTGACAGGTGTTTCCACTGCCAGTGCACAGGGCGTGACCAGTGTTTCTTCTGCAATGGCAGTGGCACCAGTGGGGAGGAGGGGAACTCCTGCTTCCAATGTAAAGGCAGAGGCTGGAAGGCTTGCTTCCATTGTGGAGGCAGTGGAATGGTCAGGTAATTTATGCGGCTCTTTTTTCCATTTCAATAATTTGATGATTTTGCAATGAATCTGTTTGGGGCGCGCCTGCCTGGAATTGTCAAGATTTGATCTAGAATTTTTAAAAATCCAGTCGAGCCGGTCTAGAATTGATAAAATTTCAGTCGTGCCGATCTGGAATTACCAATCATTGCCAACGGGTGTGAAAAATGAAAGACTTCTTGTTTGCGCTGATTTGAGCTTGCCTAATTTCGGTTGCACAGGCCAGGAGTAACTCTCAAGTCCTTTTATGAAGTTTTTAGTCTTTCGAGCGCCCCTGAAATCCTTTAAACAACCTCTTTTGCCAAAGGTTTCTGCGCCGCGCCACGCTTCTGCGCCAAACTAACATAAATCATGGTCCTCGACACCGGATTTTTTGACCAATACCAAAATTGTTCCGAAAAGTGCTACAGATCAGGAAATGTTTGGTGATGTTTTCAGCCGTGTTCAGCTAGTCGTAGCAGAGTTTGAAGAGAAAGAAGATTTCCACTTCGAAGGAACTGTAGTCCAGGTATCCGAGGAGAAGTTGGAAGACGTTTCGGGGATCCCAATCTATAACGACGAGAACTATCCCCCCATAGCACCTATGCCCCACTACCCCGAATCACCTACACTTGATGACGCAGTTATGAAGCTTCTGAAGGTAAACTTGTTAAGTGAGCGGTGTAAACCTTAAAGTGAATATTTACAGGGGCTGCGAAACTCGTCAAATAAAATTGTAGCGTTTAAAAAAAAAATGAAAAAAATCGTTGGTATAGTTTTCCTCTCGTAATTTTTTTTTTCAAAACACCAATTTTAGTTTTATTAATTTTGTGCCATTTTAAGTGGTTCTAGGCCTTTTTTCAAAGTACCTCAAATATATATGAAATGAGTTGAATAATTTTTCGCTTCCAAGGAACACTACAACAAATACGCAGTGAAGGAGAGCGACCATAAGCGAATTCTGAAACAGAAGCAGTCTTTAATTGCCATCCCCGTCACAGAAGCTGATCTGACCTACAAGGACAAAGATTACAAAGTATGGATATTTGGATCAGAAAGGAAGATTAGTTGCCCAGAAATGCAGAGTTCCTGTTGCTCTATTTTGTGAAAACAAACAAAAGATGCAAAACATTATAAGTAAATAATTTTATTTATTTAAAAGTGTCGAAAATTGAAGTTTAAATTGATTGAATAGGAATGTACACAAAAAATGGTGCCATCAGGATGCAGTGGTGAAACCCAAAGTGCACTTTTGTGTCTCGGTCTACAATTTCGAGGCGGAATGCCCACCAACATCCTGTTAGTCGGTTGAGAATGGCGCAACAACTTACCTAAAAAAGTGCTCGTAGTTCCAAATCAAGTCTGATAAAAACGACCGTGCTTCTCCATAGAGAACGGAACGGCTCGAACTGATTGATTGTCTCGAGCATAAAAATTATACTTTAGTATATATATATACTTTTTGCCGTCATTTATGGTCAACCAACCCTAAGATTTTTCTAAAGGCGCAAAATAGAGTCCTTCTAGTGTTTTGAGAGACCTTAGAACATCAATTTGGTCGTTTTTCGAACCAATTCCCATAAGACCCCCAGACCCCTAAAAGAGGCACAACATTGGAAGAAACAAAAAATTATGACACTGGTCAGTCACAATCAAAAAATCTCCCTGTGAAAACCAAGCCCTAATGCCGCTTTGTTGAAATTGAAGTTGGTACAAAATAAACACAAGAGCACCAGCGGGTTTGGGGGGGGGGGGCTGAGTGGAGGGGGTAGAGATGGGCCCCCCTTCCCGAAATCCTCTGGCGTTCTTGTGTTTGTTTTGTACCAACTTCACCCGCCTGGAATTAGGTTTTATCTCTGAAAACAAAAAGAAACGAAACTCCCTCTACTGTCACAAAGTTCAACAAAGAGGCATTAGGGCTTGGTTTTCACAGGGAACTTTTTTTGGTTGTGACTAATAAGTTTCATAATTTTTTAATTCTTTCAATATTGTGTGTCTTTTGGGGGTCTGGGGGTCTTAAGGGTCTCCCTTGCACTATTTTGAGATGTCAATTTTTGTCTGAGTGACACTAAAACTTTTCTAAAGGCGTCTTTTGCGCCAAAATATACTAATGTTGAGGTGGGAGCTCGCCCCAAAAAACGCGATCGCGATTTTTTTGCCAAAATTTTCAAAAAAAGTGCCTAAAAAGTCCTTTTTTGGCCTCTTTTTCAAAAATTTGAAATTTGCAAATTGAAATTTGAAAAAATGTGATTCGGAAGAGATGAGAAAATCAATTTGGTCGACCTAAAAAAAAGGTAGACAAAACTTTTGAAAAATCCACCCCCACCCCCTCGAGAAACCCTAGATCCGCCCCTGCACAAGAACAAGAGTATGAAAAAGAGTGAAGCGCATTTACGTTTCCGATGTTATTTGCAGCAAGATGTAAAAGAAAAAATTTAGTTTCAAAAATTCGATTTTTCTGAAAAAAAAACAAGACAAGTTAAAAACTAAACATGATGATGTGGGTCAATTAGCTTGAGTAAAATCATTGGAAAATTTTTTTGAATCGGACTAAATCAATGGCTACGTTACACGTCAAAAGAAAATTGAAAATTTTTTGTGCAAAACTATTTAAAAGAAAGACAGAATCTGTCTATCCAACAATGCTACCCGCACTGAAGTTTCATGGATAATAATCGCTTATTTTGGATTTCATAGTCAGTGTCTTTAAAATTTGAAATAAAAATTGAGAATACTTGATTAGAAATGGATTATAACATTAATATTTTCCAAAACAATATTTTCTTAATCGATTAAAATCGATTACTTTCAAATTATTTCCAAGAAAATATATATTGCAAGAAACATAATCCATTTTAATCGAGAATAATGGATTATCATCATTTAAAAAAAATCTTGTCGTGTGCTACTTTCAGTTGCTTACAAAAATTTAAAAGTAAGCGTGCTGGTGGTACGTTGGGGTTCTGGTGGAGAGGTGTTGGCGGAGAGACTGGGTTGAGGGTTGGCGGAGCGCAGCGTGGGGACGTAGGGAAGGGCGTAGCGGTAACAAGAGTGTAGTGAAAACTGGATATTAAACGAGTACTGGGGAAGTGAATGTGGGGGTGGAACTTGGGGATTCTGGTGGGGAGGGATTGATGGAGGGACTGGGTTGAGGGTTGGCGCAGCGTAGTGTGGGAACGTAGGAAGGGGCGTAGCGGTAACATGAGTGTACTGAAAACTGGATGTTAAACGAGTACTGTGGAGGTGAATGTGGGGTTGGAATGTGGGGATTCTGGTGGAGAGGGATTGAGGTAGGGATTGGGTTGATGGTTGGCGGAACGTAGCGTAGTTACGTGGGGAGGGGCGTAGCGGTGACATGAGTGTAATGAGCACTGGGTGTTAAACGAGTACTGCGGAAGTGAATGTGGGGGTGGAACTTGGGGATTCTGGTGGGAAGGGATTGATGTAGGGACTGGGTTGATGGTTGGCGGAAAGTAGCGTAGTTACGTGGGGAGGGGCGTAGCGGTGACATGAGTGTAATGAGCACTGGGTGTTAAACGAGTACTGCGGAGGTGAATGTGGTGGGGCACGTGGGGATTATGGTGGGGAGGGAATGGCGGAGGAACTGGGTTGTGGGTTGGCGGAGCGCAGCGTGGGGACATGGGGAAGGGCGTAGCGGTAACATGAATGTAGTGAAAACTGGATATTAAACGAGTACTGGAGAAGTGAATGTGGGGGTGGAACTTGGGGATTCTGGTGGGGAGGGATTGACGTAGGGAGTCGGTTGATGTTTGGCGGAACGTTGCGTGGGTACGTGGGGAGGAGTGTAGCGGTGACATCAGTGCAGTGAGTACTGAGTGTTAAACGAGTACTGGGAAGTGAATGTGGGGGTGGTTCATCAGGCTTGTGGTGGGGAGGGACTGATGGAGGGACTGGTTTGAGGGTTTGCGGAGCGTAGCGTGGGTACGTGGATTGTAGCGTACATGAGTAAAATGAGCACTGGGTACTAAACGATTTTTGTGAAGGTGAAGATGGGGGTTGTACATGAGGAGTCTGGTGGGGAGGGATTGATGGAGGGACTGGGTTGATGGTTGGTGGAACGTAATGTGGGTACGTGGATTTTAGTGTACTTGAGTGTAATGAGCACTGGGTATTAAACGATTTTTGTGAAGGTGAATATGGGGGTTGTACATGAGGAGTCTGGTGGGGAGGGGTTGATAGAGGGACTGGGTTGAGGGTTGGCGCAGCGTAGTGTGGGAACGTAGGAAGGGGCGTAGCGGTAACATGAGTGTACTGAAAACTGGATGTTAAACGAGTACTGTGGAGGTGAATGTGGGGTTGGAATGTGGGGATTCTGGTGGAGAGGGATTGAGGTAGGGATTGGGTTGATGGTTGGCGGAACGTAGCGTAGTTACGTGGGGAGGGGCGTAGCGGTGACATGAGTGTAATGAGTACTGGGTGTTAAACGAGTACTGCGGAGGTGAATGTGGGGGTGGAACTTGGGGATTCTGGTGGGAAGGGATTGATGTAGGGACTGGGTTGATGGTTGGCGGAAAATAGCGTAGGTACGTAGGAAGGGGCGTAGCGGTAACATGAGTGTACTGAAAACTGGATGTTAAACGAGTACTGTGGAGGTGAACGTGGGGTTGGAATGTAGGGATTATGGGGGGAGGGATTGGCGGAGGAACTGGGTTGTTGGTTGGCGGAGCGCAGCGTGGGGACATGGGGAAGGGTGTAGCGGTGACATGAGTGTAATGAGCACTGGGTGTTAAACGAGTACTGCGGAGGTGAATGTGGGGGTGGAACTTGGGGATTCTGGTGGGAAGGGATTGATGTAGGGACTGGGTTGATGGTTGGCGGAAAGTAGCGTAGGTACGTAGGGAGGGGCGTAGCGATGACATGAGTGTAATGAGTACTGGGTGTTAAACGAGTACTGCGGAGGTGAATGTTGTGGTGGTACGTGGGGATTCTGGTAGGAAGGGATTGGCGTAGGGATTGGGTTGATGGTTGGCGGAACGTAGCGTGGTTACGTGGGGAGGAGTGTAGCGCTGACATCAGTGCAGTGAGTACTGGGGTGTTAAACGAGTACTTGGGAAGTGAATATGGGGGTGGTTCATGAAGCTTCTAGTGGAAAGCGATTGGCGGAGGAATTGGTTTGAGAGTTTGCGGATCCCTAGCGTGGGTACGTGGACTGTAGCGTACTTGAGTGTAATGAGCACTGGGTGTTTAACGATTTTTTGTGGAGGTGAATGTGGGGGTTGTACATGAGGAGTCTGGTGGGGAGGGATTGATGGAGGGACTGGGTTGAGGGTTGGCGCAGCGTAGTGTGGAAACGTATAACGGGCGTAGCGCCCCACACGAGTGTACCGAAATCTGGATGTTAAACGAGTACTGCGGAGGTGAATGTGGGATTGGAACTTGGGGATTCTAGTGGGGAGGGATTGACGTAGGGATTGGTTGATGGTTGGCGTAACGTAGCGTAGGTACGTGGGGAGGAGTGTAGAGGTGAACTCAGTGCAGTGAGTAC